GAATAAGTGGAAGAGATGGACATTTCTGAAGGTACCACAGAAGCAGAAACCAGGATGTAGCTGCCAATCTGGTGCTATCAACAGGACCTAACAGTGGGTTTGAAACAAATCATAGTCAGTACCTTGGATAATGTATGAATTAGAGGGAAAGCCTAGAGTTGTAATCCTGTCCCATTCTGATGGAATGCATCCACTGCCAGAGCCCAAAGGTGAGGTACTGGAGACCAAATTTCCAGTAGTTGGGTGTGCCAATGAGAGGCCAACCCACCAATAAGAGTTGCAAAATGAGAGCCAATCAAACAGAACCATGCAATGCAGCATCTATTCTATTGAAAGAATCTGTTTGGGTTGAGACAATCTGCTACCACAGTCATCACCCATGGAACATGGCAAGCTAGTAGGGTGATGAAAGGAGTGGTCACAAGAAAGGAGGTCCAACATTTGAATAATAGGGAGCCCTGGATCAATTGCCTCCTCGATGAGAAACACAAGACACCATTATGGAATTGTCAGAGTGAAGCCTGACAATTTTCCCATTAATAAGCCCAGACCATGAGGCATTGTTTTTTGAAGAGCAAGAAGGGCTAAAACATTGTGTAGGGAAGCCTGGTCATCTGTGCATAGACCCTGGAATTCCTGACTGTTGATATATGCACCCCATCCTTGAAGTGAGGTATTTGTGAGGAGATGTAACTCTGGATGAGGTGGCAGCAGAGGAACCCATATCTTAATAATGACCCGGCTCAACAACCCCTCAAGACAGAAGGATGATCTTAACTAAGGAAACAATATCTATGATCCCTTGGTTGCATGAAGACCATTAAAGGGATCTCATTTGCTCTTGTCCCAAAGGTATGAGGGATTAAAGTGATGCCCACATTCCCAGAAAAGAAAGAACCATCAGTGCAGTGGGAGAAGGAGAGGTGAGTAAGTCAGGCTTCCTGTTCCATAGCATGGAGCCAGATTGGAGGCAGCTAAGCCTGACTGAGAGATGTGATGAAAAGAAAATAGCCAGACTGATGACATATTGAATTTGAGAAATAATAGATGCCTCAGCTCTGAGGATGAAGCCTGCCTTGGTTGTTTCTGGTAGTAGAATCAGGGTGTAATGTTCTGACAATTTACGAGATGGTGCCAGCAGTAACCAGTCATCTATGGAATGGTGTGTGTGCACAGTGCTATGAAATGTAGGTGACGAGAAAAAACTCACATGATTCAGCAGAACTCACATGAAGCCAATGCTAGTCTGAAGGTAAAAACCCTGAACTGTAGTACTTGACCCAAGTACACACAAAAAAAAAAGAATGGATAGTGGTAAGATATCTCTGGTTTTTCCATCTAACCAGTTTTTTATCCAATGAGCTAACCTATCCCCCACACCCATAGAGATACCTTTTAACAAGCCTTTTATGTGGCACCTTCTCAAGTGCTTTCTGAATATCCAGATACACAACATCCACATCTGTACTCTCATCTACATAAACAATAGCCTCTTCAGAGATTATCAAAATATTAGTAAGTCAAGATTTTCCCCTAGTGAAACTATGCTGACTAATTAACAAAATTTTATACTTTCCAAATGACTTTGCAAAGCATCTTTTCTCATCACTGATGTAAGATTAATAGGTTTATAACTACTAGGTCAATTTTTGTCACCTCTTTTGAAAAGAGGAGTATTATTAGCCAACTTCCAATCTTCCTGAAAAAAATAATAGCAAGTAGCTCACATATCCAATCCCAAACTCCTTTTAAAACCCTTCGGTAAATATTATCTGGTCCAGGTGCTTTATCATTCTTTAAACTCTTCAATTTTTTCTTACAAAGCTTGAACTTAATGTGATAATCTTGTTCAACCTTGTTTCCATTTAGCAACTGTTTCAGTTTGAGGAATATTACTTAAATATTCATTAGTAAAAATTGAAAAAAAAAAGATTTTAATAACCCAGCCATCCATAATCATCAGATATTAATTTTCTGGTGTCCTCCCTCAGAGTTCCTACTATCATTTTGCTTACCCTTAGTGTATTTGAAGTAATCCTTACTACTTATTTTTATATTTTCCGCCAACCCTTCCTCATACAATTTTTTGATTTCCTAATTTTTTTGTTTGAGCAGCTCTCTTGATCTTTTATAATCCTCCCAATCTCTAAGCATCACAGTTAATTTAAAATTCTTATATTTATAATGCTTTTCTTTAATTTTATCCTTTTATACCCTTTGTGAACCAACCTGGATTTTACTTGCAGCCACCCTTTTTTTGTGTATAAAGAAAATGTCTATCTTGAACATTTAAGAATTTATTTAAAAAATTTTTCCACATTTGATCAGTATCTCCAATTAATTCGGTTTCCCAATTCACAATTATTGTCACATCTCTTCAAAATTTGGTAACTTGAAATTTAGAACCAAAATCTTATTATTCCTTATCTCCATATGCAGCAAAACATAAAATCCAATTGAGCAATGATCATTTGCTCTCAGATGTTCCCCAAATTTTTACCCTATCAACCATTTCTTTATTGGAAGTTAACAAGGCATTGTTCCAAGTAGGTTCCCAACCCAAATGTTGAAGAAAACCATCCTGAACAGTTTCTAAAAACCTGTCTCTCTCTCTCATGATTTTACTCCAACATTTCTTAATCTATATATATTGGTTAAAATTAAAATCTTCCATAATTATAACCTCATTAATAGATGATTTCTTTATCTCACTGTAGAGTTTCTCATTAATTTCATCAATTTAGTCTGGTGGTTTTTAACCAATTCCAACTGGCCAACTTGCTCTTCCTTACATATTATCTTAAGGCTAGCATTCAGCCTTAATAACCTACTTATAATTTCATCCCTACAGTTAAGTATTGGCAGTATCTCTGACAAAATTAAATTACCATGGCCCTTTTTTTGAATGCCTTGTATTTAACAATTAGCTCCTCTGATCTATCCTTCCTTACATCATCAGCCCTTATGTACACTCTTTTTTTTCCTATTTATTCTACAAACTATGCTATTCACATGCTATACTAAAGAATCTCTTATAAAAATAACATCCTTATGTTCTTCATTGCAATCCCTGTCTATCCCTTTCGTTATCCTTCCTTCCTCAAGTTCACCATATACACAAGCCAAAGACTGAAGTTTGTTCTTTATTAGGCTTTGATCTTTATAATTACATCTATCATCACTAGCCCTATTGTTACTGCTTACAACCTCCTGAAAGTCATCAGTAGCCCCTTTATCCCTTTGATACAAAAGTTCAATTTCCTCTTTAAATCCTGCTGCCACCTCATGCAGTTTAGATGTGAAGGAGGAAATTGCCATTCTTTCTAACTTATAAGTGATGCTTCATGTGGTTCTAAAACTCCGACCTTATTTGTTGCCACTGACTGATGCACTAATGGAACCCATGCATGCAATACACAGTTTTCTGACTTAAAACCAAACTGTACTTGCTGCAATAGTTATATCTCCAAATGCTAGATTTATTCCAGTGATAGTTTGTTATTATGGACAGATGGCTGTCAGTTGGAATGATTATCAACATGACTAGTGAAGATGTGACTGGCACTATCCATACAGCTAGTGTTCTTTAGCTGTACCATGTCCAAAAGCAATTACAGTTATAAGATATATTCACACCATTTTTTTAAAGACTGTGCAAGTGGCCTTGATTCTGAGCAGCAAGAGAACCAGATGGTCACTTGGGTAGAACAAACACAGGAGAAATAAGTGCAATAAAACAACAATCATGCAGGCTTCTTTAGAGAACAAATGGTATTGTTAGTGTTGAAATAGAACAAATACTAAAGAACAGAGAAATGCAAAAAGTCAGAGCATGCATAGTCATCTTCAGAATTGATAATTATTTTTTAAAAGAATTAATGATTAATAATAGTTGCATTTCTGTAAAAAATTACCAATATATGTTTGGTTGGTCCAGTCCCAAGCAATAATCATTAACTTCTGATGAATGATTAGAACAAAACATTAGCCCAGTATTTAGTGTAGCTAATCTGATATACCAGACTAACTGTCATAAAGAATAACTTATTACGATTACAATGCATTGATTCATTGGTTGAGTTCTCTCACTATTAATGATATTTTCAGCCATAATTTCAACAATATCTTACAATATTCAATCAGCTTAGTAGACTTAGTGAGACCCATGAACTAAGCTAAATGCAAAATAATCCTCAGAATAAAAGATATAATAAAATAATAGTTATAAATATACTGTATATATATATTGAAAAATCTAACAAATGACAGCATACATAGTAAGTTTTTGTTTTTTTCCTTTTATTCCCGCATAGTTCCAAGAAACTAGCTAACTTTGTACTTAGGAAAATGGTGATTAGCTAATTGAAGATAAATAACAATTTATAGGAGGACATGGGTTTGTTAATTTTGGTAAAAAAATGTTTGTTACCTCTTTGGCACCTATCAGGACATTTTCTAACATTGTTAGGCACTAAAACTTAAAATTAATATCTATTTTCAATACATAATGTCTGTTAGATTGCACTTTCCACATTATAAGGAATATCTATATTGTGCTACCAATAATTATGCATTTTATTACTTCCATGAACAACTCATATTTTACAATTATATTTAAATATATATAAAGTTAATGAGTATTATGTTTGGGCAATGGATGTCTGAATACTTAGTATCAAACACCACCAGTTTATAATGCTTAGAGATGGCTTGAATGGGTAATGAAGAAAAACTTTAATACAAGTTTAACATAACAACAAATGTACAGCATTTCGATAACTACCTGATGATGACAAAACGTTGTACATTTGCTGTTATGTTAAACTTATATTAAAGTTTTTCTTCATTACCCATTCAAGCCATCCCCAAGCATTATTAGTCTTAAAGTGGATTCCTCGTCATCGAATTTGAATTCACCACCAGTTTATGTAGAAACACTCCAATCATTTTCACATTGAAATGAAAGTATTTTTTATAATTGAACAAAACTAAGTGCTCACCCAACTAGTGACTTCTGACAGATTTCTAACTGTTCCAGTAAATGTGGTAAAAGTTGTCCAACCATTTCATCTCCTGTACAACATTCTATAACATTTGTGGTCTCATGAGCTTTGGTCATGACTTTCACCCAAGATTTGTCAATGTTTTGGAATCGTTTGGCCTCCTGTATTAAAAAGACAGAAACACAGTTTACACATTTCAAATTTTGGTTTATTGGTATTTTTATATGATATGTACAATAGCAAATAAGATATTTTATTTTCTTCCACATTGTTTGGTCACAATTTTAACATCTGAAGAAAGCTGCTAAAATTGTTACTGAAAGCTTATGAGAAGATTAGCAAAAAGACATTACTTTTATGTGTTACTGTCTATATATATATATATCACCCACATTATGAGTGTACATTTGTGTACAAGTATAGTTTGAGTTATTTCATAATCTCAAAAACAATTTGAAAACTTTATCTACTGCTTGTTGGTAATACTTACTATTACTCCATCTCTAATGCCTCTAAACATATAATAAAATCATACATATTTTTATGTTTTATTAATTTACTATGAAGGGTGATGATAAAAAATTTATATTATCAAATCTATTTAATATATTAACATGGATTATGCAAGCATTCAAAACATATTTAATCTGGTAAGAATTACATGTATTTACTGAAATAAATCAAGTATGAAAGGGTGGGGTCAACTATTAGTGCTGCAGTACTTTCATGTGGCACACAGGATGAACACCAGGCCTCCCCATTCTTTGCAGCTCTTAGCAGATTTCGTCAACTCTTCATTGGAGTTTAGACTGAGTAATTTTCTTTCTCTAGAGATTGTATTCCTCAGGTCACATCTCTTTTTTTCTACTGTTTGATTACTTATACAGTGGCCTGTTGAGTAAGTTGGTTTGGTGGCATTCTTAGGATAAAGTCAAGATACTTTCAGTGCCTCAATTGGATGACTTTTAAGATGTAAGTGTATTGAGATCATTTTTGTAGGTCTTTGTTGGTAATGAAACCTTTCCATCCAATACAGAGTAAATTCCAGGAGCATTAATCTTTAAAGGATATTTTTTCTATTCAATTTCTTGTTTTATGGCTCTTCAGACCCTATATCATGAAGTTATATGCAGGCAAAACGTGTTTTTTATTTGCTTTAAATAATTGAAACTTCATTTAATCTGTTTCTATATGGTTACTTTTATTCCTATTCATGCTTCATGCAATTAGAACATTATTTTGATCTTGTATTTTCTATTGTACCTAATTTTTGTCATTTTCTTATGTCTGAAGATGACTTAAGTATAGAGAAGAAATGTTGCATGGTCATATCTATATATGTGCATGTTTTAATATAAAATGTGACTCAGTGGATAGAAAACTTCGTAAATACTTGATTATAGGTTGATAAAGGTCAAGCCATATAACTGACAATGTTAACAATTTCTGTGACTCTATTTTACTTTTTAGAGAAATAAGATAAATTATCATTCTGTTTAGTTTCAGCTTTCAAGAACCACAATTGAGGTATTGTATGGACTATGAATTACTTTTATATTCTTACCACAAAAAACAAGACACATAAACATAAAACAACTAAAAATATCGTTGATCATAAAAGTAGTTTAATAAATGTTACATTAGTAAGATCCTGGTGAAATAGAACTAATATAATGATTACATGAAAAAACATTCTTGATTACACAAATAAATATTATCTATAATCATATGTTGTAAGATAAAATTTCATATCTTGAAAATAATAAGTGACATTTAAACAATAAGCATTTAACTAAATTTTAAAATGATTTAAAACTTTAAAACCTTTCCTAAAGGTCCAGCATTATCATTAAATAATAAAAATTATTATATGTTTTTGAAGTTATGGTTAATCAAGTTTAAACAAATACCTTAGGAAGTTGCTTGGCAATATCACCTCCAATGAAGACTGCTTCAAGATACACCCAAAGATTCTGAACCACCAACCAATTTTCTATAATATCAGAAGCGTTAGAGAGTTTCTGAACCCAAGACTGGATCTCAGTTTTGAAGGGTGCATTATACCTAAAAATATGTATATACAGCATTAGAAATGATTATGGAAATGCACAGGTGATACACAAACAACGAGTAATTATAATTAAATAGTTAATACAATTGTTAGTACAGTACATTATTACATAAAATATAAAAGAAAAGTAAACAAGGTGTACAATGCACTAACATTTTCCATTTGTTTTAAATAGTGCAAAATAACTTTCTTTTAAGTTTCTATAAACATTGTTAAAAATTACCTGTATTACTCCTTACAATTCAGCTAAGTTGTTTGCTTGCCTTATTAATATTCATATCATGACTTTATGTACACCAAGCTATGGTTGCATGTATTCCATTGGTTTATTTTTTTATATATCCAGATATCATTTCACCACATCTGATACATGATTGGAATCACTGTTTTGCTGATGAATAACTAGCTCAATGTATCTTTCTGTAGTCAAGTTGCCATCATTTTTATGTATATCTATAACACCACTGGGTGAGATGCAGCTCATACTTGAATTGGTCTCTCAGCTTCTTCACTGTAAGTGTTGCATATTGACAATGATACTGTTTTCTGAATCATCAAACAAAATACAGTTTATTAATATCAAAGTTTAAATTTGGATTTATCTATGAAAAAGCTCTTCTCCAGTTTTGCTCTTATCATTGTTTGAAGTCTAATACCCATTTCAGCCTTTTGGTTTGTTATCTCTCTATTGAATGGTTTTTGAGCAAGATCTCTACTGAATTCTCATGTATCACATAATTAGCATACCCTGAATTGGTTAACATAACTTTAGAAGAGTTTGAGCTTTGTAAATCAAAACACTTCTATCACAACAGTATTATTTTCACATACCTTCTTCACAGTTTCCTCATTCTGTTGCATGGAGTAGCCCTCACCAACTAAAACTTTCCTTACTGTACATTTGCCATATAGCATTTCTATCCAGGGAGCCATATGTGTGCATTACCACACTACTGTTGGAAACAGTATGATTGTCTATACTCTTATAAGAATTAAGCTGGTGTGGTAATGATAAATATAGCCTCTGAAAATTCATAGTACTATGGATTTCATAGAAATCATGTATTTGATTACTCACTGTAATTGTTTTTATATTTTGCTTAGAATATTTTGTATTCCTTTTCACCTCTCCTGTTAATTTAATATATTTTCTCACAGTTGTCTATACATAGTTCAGCATCAGTGCTGTGCATTTGGTTACTATGACTAGGGGTCAAACAAATACCAACTTAACAGAAAAAACAAACTCAAAAAAGAGATAGAGAGCAGTAGGGTTAATGAGTGACATATTTATTCCTAGAGATTGCATGAAGGGATACAAAAAAAGGGACTTTGTATGTAGATGGTAGCATTTTATTTTGCTCTGCCTGTAACATCTCCTTGGATCATCTCGGGGAAGGTAGTATTGACAAATATCTTGACATTGTCATACACAAAAAACAATAAAATAAAACTGGAAGTTGAGGTTAAACATTTACTGAAAAGCAAGTCACAATTACAGGATTGTTTAGAAAGAGCAGAGAGTGTAAAATGTCAACAAGTTTAAATTAGTGGTGGCCTTTAGTGTAGTAAACATACTGATGTAATGGCTGGACAATGAGAAGTTACAATATTTCTTAATGACAAAATCCCCAATTGTGGAGCCCTGCCAAACAGTGACATCCTCAAGCAAGAGTATCTTCCTAAAGCATATGCAGCACACAAAGAATATTTAAAATGCATACTGAACAAATTTGAGTCTGTTTCCATTGTATACAGTGGAACAACTGTGTTTTGTACACTCTTTTCATCCCAAATAGCTTATCAACTACTAATTCAGGGGAACTTTCTGTTTACTTGGTAGGTACACTGCATCTTGACTAAGCTAACCACACAGCAGTAGGTCCAGCTGTCATTAAGACCCTTGTGAAATATGACATTGATTTTAAATTTGTGTTTTCCTTTGCAACAGACAATGCCAGATACCTGTCAAAAGCATACAGAGCTACCTTGCAAGATCTGCTTCCATACTACATCCATATTACTTGCAATGCACATATCATTTCATTAGTCAGAGATCTATGGCATGAACATTTTTCATGTGTAAATAAATTTGAGGCATTGGTGAAAAATATTTTAAAATCTTGTTCCAGTAAACTCTGCATTTCAAAGAATGCATGAAAGACATCTACAAAAAGGTTATACAACAAGAACTTGAATTAACACTAGACACAAATTCTAAAAAGAAATTGAAAGAATTGCTTGAGACTGGAAGCATGCAGAATGACAATCTTTTCAGTACTCAAAATACAATATGTTTCATGGATTTACTGACATGGTTTGAAGCACGAAAGGAGTGAATTAACCTGGCCTACAACAAAGAAAATGATTTGCTCCACTGGAGTGAATAGCAGACAAAAGCACATCATAGCAATTCAGAAAAAAAATTAATCAGCAAAGGAAAGATGTATGTTGAAAAATTGCAGCCAAACTCTCTGACTATTACAACCCAAACACTTTTTTCAGCCAGCAGCAAGCTTTGTGAACGCTATTCATAATCTCAATCCACAACAAGTTTCTGTCTTGGATAACACATCTTTGCCATTAGGTACAATCCCAGGGTTCATCCAAATCCGCACAGATAAAATTGAAGCATGCAAGTACCATGCAACTGAAAGTATGGGGTCCTTCTGGAATGGGATGTCAATGTGTTTATTCACTGCCTTACTTTACTTTCATTTGAACATCTATCCTCATGTTCACTTTTCCACATATCCCTAAAGACTTATTTCCTTCTCCTCTTGGCCTGTGGATGTCATTTGTTGGATTTATTTGCTACTGACATTTCACATACCTTGTATCATTCCACATATGTTCTCCTTTATCTGGATTGATCCTTCCTTCCCAAAACTTTGGCAGCTTGTGAGGGTAATTCCTCCTTCTTGCTGATTTAACACCTATATTTCTGGTCTGATCCAGATAGACTACTATGTCCCATACATACTCTTCCTTTCTTTTATATTGCCCAAATAGCTTACTTTTGTAGTGCCCTTTCCCACCTCTTCATTACGTAGCAACTATCCTTTGATTGTGACCTTTCTCCTTCCACCTTACAAATTGGGTTGAACTTTTAATTCAATATGGACCGTGCTATCTGCATCATATAGCTGTTTCTTCCTCATCAGGTTATCATCTTCCACCTGTTGCCATTCTTCATAATTCAATGAGACTATGACTGGGTAAGTTATATTTTATTATGTATACCTCTTTATTTTTCAGGGACATGTCCATTTTTTGTCTTTATGGATCCTTCTCTGTGGCAAGTAGCGCCTGTTCAGGTATACTTAAACTTGTAAGATCTGCACTGTAAGTCCATGATGAATTAAAAACTATAATTTAAATAGCTACTAAATGCAAACTGAATATCACTTGTAGGTTTTCTTCACGATATATTTGCTTCATTAATATGTATGTTCTGGACTGTACTAACCCATGAACTTCATGGGTATAGCAGAAGAGGATTGCTGCCTATCCTTGTCATTCTATAGATTGAGTAAATCAGGAGTGGTCTGCTTTTCAAAATAGAGTTTTTGTGGTAACCTGTTGCACTGTCTCTTCATATTGGTATTCCTCTGGACTCTCCACAACATTTCCTCCCCTCCTTTTCTTCCAGTGGATTATGGGAGTTCTTACCATTTTCCAGTTCCAAGCCACTGGGGTGGTGGACTATGGAGGTATTCTCTTGAATATGATCGATATTTATGATGCAAACAATACTGAATCCATTCAGTTAATTGTAGGGTAATGGGGTTCTGCTGGTGTAGATAACGAGATGTCCTCCAATCTGATGCTCTGTTTCTGAGGGGATGTTGTAGCTTTGGAGTGAGCCATCAAAAAGTGCAGTTCATCCCTTCAATTGGGATACCTCATCTTACCCTCACATGGATGTCAGTTCCCAGTGGCTGGGTTGTGGATTCAGAGCTGGACCAATCAACATAATTCCTCATACATGTATTACAGGGCTGGAGTAAGATGAAGTGGTGATGGTGGGGCAGACTGGAACTGGAGCAGCCATGGAAACCACAGTTGTGTCAGCCACTAAGGATCAATCATAAAGACTTGATAAAGAGTGGTGTGGATGATTGAAATCACCCAGGGAAGTTACACATAAAGGTATTTGTTGGTCCAATCCTGGCTGAATACATTGAAAGCCAGTGCAAGTGGATGAGAAAATGGAGAACAAAACACAGGTACCTTGGTATTGAAGGATGTTGTACATGCATCCAAGTGAGAAGTATGCCACCAAAGGCATAGCAATTGGAAAACATGAGGATCGAGAGACCACTCTGTAAGATAAATTTCGTCTGGTCAGGAAAGGCGATCTGAGATAAGCTGGAATGCGCTCAGAAAATAACACGCAAAGATACAAATATCAAGTGTGTGGGCCCAAAATCAGAGATCCAAAGTTCGACCAAAAAAGGAAATGAGGACGAGTGCTGCCACAGTGATTGACATAAGCTACCACTGTAGAATTGTTAGAATGGATCATGACCAGACAATTCCTGGCAAGATGTAGAAAATGATACCAAGCATAATGTATGGCCAAAAGGTCTAGGATGTTGATATGGTAAGACCTCTTGGCCAGACCTTTGACCTGAAGCTTCCTGCTAATTGACCAATACCCCCCAGCTGTAGAGAGAAGCATCCATAAAGATATGCAAATCTGGATGAGGGAGGAGGAGGAAAAACCACTGATGTGTGGGCCTTGTCCAACCCCCAATGCAGATTGTCGACAAAGGAAGGAGGGAAGGAAATAGGAGCATCCAACGGATCCTGCACAAGGCTCCATTGGTCGTGTAGAGTCCACTGATGAGACCTCATATGTGCTCAAACCAAGGGGATAAGGGTTTCCATATTAGGCCACATTCCCAAAAGTGATAGCACCTCACAAGCAGTAATAGAGGGAACAGCAAAGGCATGGAGAACTGAAAGCTCCATCAAATACAGTCCAAGAGGAGAAGGTTAGGCCCAACTCAGATGAGAGTTGAAATAGATACCCAAGTTGACAAGATATTGGATAGGTATAAAGAATGACTTCTCCAACTTGATTAACCAGCCACACAAGCTGCCTCCAAAAAAAGCTGATGGGTGTGATGGGTGGACTCCCATTCCAAATGAGCTAACAGAAGCCAGTCATCCATGTAATGGTGTAAGCTCAATCCCATGAGCATGCATATATTGGGCAAAAGCCTTGACCACTCAAAAAAAGACATATGGGGTTGAAGCCAGCCTGAAGGGTATGGTGCAGAAAAGATACACTACCCTATGATGAACAAACCGAAGATAGTGCTTCAACCAACATGATATAAAAATATGCAAATAAGCATTCATGATGTCTACCTTAGTCATCCACAGGTCTGTTGAAAAAGTCCACCTAAGGGTGGTAAAGCAATGCAGAGCCAAAAATTGATGGAGATGGAACAGATTGATCACAGGCCACCAGCCCCCAGTTTTCTTGGGTACAACAAACAGTCTGGAATAAAAGCTTGGAGAAAAACGAGATACAGGTTTGATGGCTTTCTGGGAGAGAAGAGTCTGTACCACCTCGGACAGACATTGACTGGTAGCAAGATCATGAGGCAACAAAAAGGATATGGTTACCCGTTATAATGGAGGAAGGAAAAGGAAGGGGATGACAAGACCCTCAGATAATACCTGAATAATCCAAAGATGTGTGGTGAAATCATGCCATAAGGGAACAAAATCAATCAAGTGAGTCCCCACTGGACTGGAACCCACAGGGCAGTCATTAGTAATGTTGGCAACGTGTCCATCTTTGTCAAATAATACGTGGGTTGAGGAGGAATCCCTAGAGGGAGGAACTGGTAAAGTCTAGAAGGGAAACAGTGATAGGGATTGTATAGGTTCAGAATGACACAAACTATCAACTAAAGATGAAAGGGTCGATTGCTGCCTCATAGATTCCACATGAGATTCTAAAGTCTCAGGAATATCTCTGAAAACAGACCATTGGAGAAAATGGGCCATACATAAGCCCCGAAGATAAGTAGGTGGCAAATGAACTTGGGACAATACATCATCTCTTCTCAGAAGATCCCAACAACAGAGAAACCATGTGTGTAAGGAAAGGGACAAAGAAGACAAACTTGCCAATGTGGAGGTAAGCAGGGAGAGGGTATCCGTCAAAAAACCCTCAGGATCTCAGTGGAGTACCTCAGAAAGGAAAGTGGACAAGTATCATAGGAGAATTAATAGGGAAAGACAAAGGTGGGAAAAATAGGCAGGGTATAAACAAACAGGATGATCACGGTTTGTCCCTACATGGGCAAAAGCGATTCCAACTGTTGAGGATCAAGAAACAGAAATTAAGCCTGATGGTAGGCTAAAGCAAACTGATCCATAGCCTGTGGAAGGCAAGGCATGCTGATGCCCTCATGCATCTGAGATACAAAATGTTCTATGTGAGCCCTAATATTTGTAGAGGAGGAGGTATCATGTAACAAGGAAGGAAGAGGATTATAATGACCAATCTCTTGTTGAATGAGAGCCAATAATTCCATAGCTGAGTCCCTCCCCCCCCCCCCCCCATCTGCAGCCTGTATAAATAATGTGCGGGTAGATGGTATTACCTATGAAGTGGTAACTTGGACTTTGTTAATGATTAATAACCAAACACATCAGTATTAGAATAAATAAAAGAAAAACTACAAATAAAAGTAAGTTATCCTTATGTTTCCTGAACATTTGAAAAAATGAGAATAACAATTCCTCTTCGGAATAAATTACAAAACAGTTCAATCAACATTGCAAACAAAATCAATAAGTTTAAAAAAAAACGACTGAAGAGCACAATGAAAAATATATTGACATGAGCACTGCCAAACAGGAAGTGATAGTTCAGTAAAACTGAATAGAGGGAGTCACATGCATCAGGAGGGTGTGTCGCACCCCTATTGGATGAAGGATTGTCGCATGATGATTTACACGCGAGAAGCAGTTGAACCATATTGATCATGGGGTACATAGAAGCTCAAGGCTTGTGGCATGCAAAAAACTTTTTGCATATAGGGGGCAGCACTGAACAAGAATAGCTATATCTGTGAGTGGTAGTAAGGTACCATATCTGCAATTAAGAATGTTCATTATGCAAGACAGCTATGTCATAAAAATAAACCCTTTCCCATATTTTTGTAGGAAAAAGTGTATACAATAAGTAAAACTATTTTATTGGTTTCATTATGCATTAAGAGGTTAATTAAAGATCAAATCAATGCATCTGAACTTTTGGTTATGCTAACAGTTTTTTTGTAACAAGCAAAGTAACCATATATCAGAATGATGTGTCCCCCTGTGGGACATTGGTAAGTCTATGGACTTACAACACTAAAATCCAGAGTTTTATTCTCTGCAGTGGACACAGCAGATAGCCCACTGTAGCTTTGTTCTTAAAGATAACAAACAATTATATTCAAATTTGTTTTCTGTAAATATTTTCAGCACACTAACAAAAACAAGCAACTCATTGAAAATGTAACACACCACTGGTACGATCATGCTTTTTCATAGTTACCTCTACTCAAACATAATGCCTTGATAGTAGACATAGATATGGTACACAAGTATAAGATAACTTGTTTAATCTTTAAGAGATCACTCATGCCAAGACATTTTTTTTGTTATTGCACAAGTACTTCATAACATAATAACATTACAATTCTAAAAACTCTAACCTCAACTACTTTGAAATGCACAATTAGTTTTTTATTTTTAAGATCATAGAGTTTTTAAATAATGGTTTTTATTTTACATGTTCTGGCTGTAAATGAAACTCATCATATATTTAAGCAATAGAGGAAATTTGTTTCTTCTAATATGAGTCATTTTGAATATAAATGCATGCAATTATAATCTCTGAAGAACATCAATTTCTTTCTATGATTCTTGAAAATCAATAGTTTTTGTTTAATGTTTTATGAATATAATCTGTAATTTCAAATGAGTTATTGCAGTATTAAGGTCATACCTATTGCTAAGCAGTGATCCTAGAATCATCAAACTATCTTCAAGAAAAGATACAGTTTCAGCCACATCTACAGCTTTAAGAAGTAGATCTCCACGGTTCTTAAAACTGGCAAATGAAAATTCTTTAGTGTTCCAGTCTAATATAACTTGTTTCAACTTTGCTTCAATTTCTTTTTCTTTAACTGCTGAAATGCAAATTTCCTAGGAGAAATAACAGGAAAACAGAACAGTCAAAGCTTAATATCTACTAGATCTCTCCAAATCTGGAATTCCAAATCTCTTTTAATTATCATTATTTTTAAATCCAGAGGTAAAAACACCATAATTAATTGTAAGATTGCCTTGTTTGTGCTGCTAATTGATACATGGCTAATTTAGTTACATTACTACCCTCCAGTACATTCCTAAATAGTAGCTTCAGTTAAATTGTTATCTAGCATAAATCAAAATCCTCACCATCACCACTAATATGGATCTGCTACTTGTATTTCTAAAAAGTAAGCACTGAAAATGGTAGTTTGATCCAATTGTACTAAGAACATAAACATCTACTTTTCTTACTAAAAATGTTTAATATGTTTAATAGCAAGCAAAATTTTATAATTATGTGTAAAATTATCTTTACTTATTAACTGATAAAGAAAACTACTACTACTAATCTCTCTCTCTCTCTCAATATATGTATATATATTTAGATACATAGTAATAAAAAATGAATTTGAACTGGATGAGAATTTTTTTATTCATAAACAAAACTTTAATTAGTTAGTGAAAAAAATTATACCTCAACATCATCTCTATACTTGAGAAGAGGGGCTTCCATGACATTACGTAATGAAAAGGTTTCAGACTCACGATCAAACTTGTAACCAGTGATGGTAGCAATTCTATCCCAGTGACGATCTTTCATTGTTTTGTTAGACATAAGTTCCAGAAGTGGGCATGTTTCATTAAAATCATCAATTTTTTGTTTTAAATCAATGAAAGCTTGCCAGTCTTTCATCCCTTTTGGAAGTTTTCTACATCTGGAAAATTTAATAATTTATACAACTCCTAGTTGTATCAGGTGATTAGGACAACTTATATTCTGAAAATTACAAATCATTTTAATAGAACAGATTTTTTACTTAAAGAATAAAAGTATTTTCAGTTCATTTTAATAGATGTACAGTTAACCATCTGAAGGGTGTATATAATAGATTAAGAAAATAACCAAAAACTATGAAAATCAAAACTCCTCTTAAAATTTATTACTTTATGTTATGGACTTCTATTAGCATCAGTTAGACGTTAAAATACAATATAATATTCTCCTGAACTCACCAATCCCCAATTTTATTCTACAGTTGATGTAATAATAGCTAAAACTTTCAGATTTTCTTGGTAAAAATAATAGTAAAAACTTTACTCATTTTAAAAGAATAAACTATAGTTAGAAATAAAATTGCATGAAAAAAATTCTCTAATTTTACACTTTACTCATATTGGTGTGCTAAAAAGGAACAATATTTTTTGATGCTTGTTTGTAATAATTTGTTTTGTCTACCTGTTTTGAAAGTCTTGAAGTTCTTCATTAATTTTCTCTATGTCCACTTCCACCCATAAGATATCAAAATAACCATTGATACTGTCCATGACTTGGTTATACAACCCATAAAGCTTTTGCAGTAAATTCAGTTCTTTCTTGATACGATTTAATGATGGATAGGTTGTAACTGGTATAGCAAACAAGTTTTGACCACCACTGTATGTTTCAAACTTCCTCCAAAGATCATCAAATTGTGTCTGCAAAGATAAAAATACTTATTACAACAAATAAAGTATTTAAATTAAATTATAACTTGTATGCTACACATGCTTTGAGCAAAAAATATGGGAAGATGAATCTCACTAAGTGCGTAAAGCTACTCATATCAGATTTGAATGACATTTTACACAACTGAAGTGATGGATATGATAAGTCAGATAGGACATGTTTTACATTTACCACATCATAATTCACAAAATGGTAGCTATTAAAATGTGTTGACTATATGTTAATCAGAAAACATTTTCAGTTTTAATTATTTTTCAATATATTATCATCAAATCTAATATTTGGATAAGAAGAACAATATTATAACAATAAACACATGTTTAAAAATAATTAAAAACATACAATATTAAGAATAAAAACACACATTTTCAAGTATTGACTGGCTGTTGCTTTTTTTACAATACATGATATCTTTTTGAAACAAACTTTATATGTAATCCATCCAATACTTAAATATAACCTACAGTACTGTCATTCGTATCAGTAGAAGCACAATACTAACCAGCTGCATCGAGTAAATGCACTTTATATAACATTGGAAGGAGCAAGGTTGAGTCCTGATGATTATGGTGAAAGCCTAGATGTTAAAACACATACAGCATGTGTAAAGCATCCCAGTGTCTATTCCCACTGCATAGCACTTTAAGTATTAGCCACATAATAGGTCACCAATTGATGCTCCATCATAAAAGATCTATGGAAAGCAGACCTTTAATGCCACATGCCATGATTAGAGTTTGATCTGTAAAAGTTTATTGTCATGCTTGTGTTGAAAATGGGATGCCAAAGTAAATGTTTGAAAAGAGTTCATATGCATATGGCTTCACCTGAATGTAGTCTAAAAGTTGTACCCAGAACTATATTAACTATCTAAATCATAACACTCACATTAAACTTAAACTGAAACAGTTATATTTAATAAGCCCTCTTCAAGAAAAATATTTACAATATATATATATATATTTACTATATACAAAGACTGTTCTCACTTTATACTCAAAGCTTACTCATACAATCTGCACCAACATTTGCAGTTCCCTTGATGCCTTCAATGCAGAATCAGTAGTTCTAGAGGTACAACATGATCTTTACACTGTAAATTTTACATCTCTGGATACATGAAAGGGGCCGATGGTCCATCAGGATGATGAACTCTTTCCTGTAGGGGTAGTTCTGGAATTTCTGGATGACAAATATGAAGGCCAGACACTCTCGTTCAATTACAGAATAGTTCTTCTCTCTACTCAACAGCTTTTTACTGCCATACATTACATGAAACAGTCTATCTTCATGTTCTTGCAAAAGTACTGCTCCAATTTCAATGTCTGATGCATCAGACCAAATGATGAGCAGTTTGTAGAAGTCTGGCATTCAAAGGGTTATTGAAATTCCTAACTTGTTCTTCAATTTCTTGAATGCCATCTCCTATGGTTATTCCCACATCACTTTGGGGTGGTCTTTCTTGGTCAGGTTGGTCATTGATGCAGTGAATTCAGCATAGATTGGGATGAACTTCCTATAGTCTCCCACTAGCCCCAGGAAGAGTCAGCTGTTTACTGTGTTGCAAAAGTACTGGGAGTGGTGAAGCTTCAAACATCCCCGGTCTCATGGTATCACCAAGCAGCTAGTCAAAAATAGTGAAGAGCATGCTTTGTAAGTTTGTGAACTCTGATTGAAATTATTGGGATGATATCCCACCCTACATAACACACCTGTGATCAAAATGTCATGCCTGTTCTAAAAACAAATTTTCCTTACTGTAAAAGCTGTAACTTGTAATAAAATAATTAGTTACAAAGTGCTTTTATTTGTATTTTGATGTCTTATACATCTCTTTCATTTGTTTCAGGAGGTTTACTTAGATTGTATTTTAATGTATTGTTTAAGATTCTTATTTCATTTGTATTGTTGCAACAGCCGAGGTCACATGACTAGTATCACGCCACGTCCTTCTTGAACCTTCATGAATTGTCGGGAGACTACTAGATTGGGGTAGTCTTGTATATATAAGATCAGCCAATAAACGATGGAGAATGCGTAATATATATGTGTAATTGAACTGAGTATTGTTGAGTCGAGCACGTGAGACATTCGTTGAGAATTATAGCGTTTGTTATATCGCAACTGTTGAAATTAAGTGTATCGCAAAGTTATATTCAGAAAGAATAAACCAGTTTTATTTAAGAAAGGACTTGTGTCGCTAATGTTTCGTCGGAACGAATTTACGGAAAATTAACTAACGACCAGAGATGTAACAAATTGGTGTCAGAAGTGGGATAGAAAAAAAAAATGGAAACGACAAGTGGCAAATCAAACTACAGCCTAGCAGACTTGATGGCAGCAATACAAGAGCAGCAAAAAAAAACAAGAAGAACGAGAAAAGAAACAAGAAGAGAGACAACAGCAGTTGCAAGAAAACCTGCAACAGTGGCAGCTCGAAAAGCAAAATAAACAAGAAGAGACATTACAGAC